TTAAAAAAATAGAGAGAAAAAAAACCCAACTGGTTACTTCTCTATTCTCTTTCTTTTAAAGAGTATGATTTATTTTGTCACTAAGGCTCAAAGTTTGCTAGCTGAAAAGGTAGATGCGTGTTCAGAGAGCACTTACCTCCTTCTGATATGCAGTTAGTTTTCTCACAGGCTGCCCATTGACCAGTAGGAGCAGAGCCATAGAGATTGCATTCCGGCCCTAGCGCCCTCCAGCATAGAGCTCAGTGCAGGCTCGAGCTTCCTCCCCTTATTTCTGGGACCCTCACTCTGATGGAAGCCTTGAAATAATCAGGTGCTGAAACTGAAAATCATTTCGTTTGCTTCTTTTGTTCTACCACATAGTCACTGCTGCTCGCCTCTGCTCTTCATTCTCTTTCCTACAGTACATTTTTTTCTGTCTGTGCGTATTCTTCAATGTTTTGTATTTCAGCAGATTCCTATGTTCTGAGCGATCTCCTTTTAGGAATATAGTAATCCTACATAGGAATTCTAAATCACTGTTCCCTAGGGAGTGTCTTACACCATGTGCGTAAGGATAGGGCAGAGTTTGAATAGAGAATTGCCAACTTCTGTGATAGCTTGTGTGATTTTTTTCTTTTTTTTCTTAAAACTTCCCAAATTGATACTTCTGTCTTTGTGGGCCTCCATAGTACTGAGCCTGGGAATAGTTCATTTCAGGTGTTGTCAGTGATTTTTAAACTTATTTTGAATTTGATTGAGTTTGTAGAATACAAGAAATCACTGCTTGCACAAGTGGCAAATTGCATGGAATAACACCTGCTTGACACAGAAAAATTGGTTCTGTTTCATAAGCTAAAATAGGAGGAGGTTTTTAATTTTGTTAAAGCATGCACTTAATTTTACATTTCTTATCTATGAAGGCCTAATATACCAAAAACTTTCTTAAGATGCTTCCTTTACTATTCTTCCTGCCACATTCTTTCTTCCTATCTTACCCCCACCACATCAAGAAGTAGAAAAATTATCTGGAAGTATGGTAGAACAAATGTAATCTAGTGTATTTATTGCTAGCCTCTTAATGCCATTCAGTCTCTGTTCTTATTAATTGTAGTTGAAGACAGTTAATGAAGCTAGGAAGACTGACATAAGAGGCTAAACTGGCTGTTATAGATGGCAGCTTCTACAGTTTTTTTGGAGCCAAAAAGGGAAATGGATAAAATTCTTGGTAAATGTAATAAACATTAATTTTATATGACAGATAGGACTTGGTGATTTGTTACAAGAGAACAGTTTCGCCTTCCTTTTGCTTCAAAATTGTTGCTTCATCTCCTATAAGAATTTGAAATCATTTTCCCACTGTACATGGGGGTGTGATACATACAGATGCCCGCAGACATGTTTTCTTCCCCTCTCTGTAGTGTCAGTCTTCCCACTATCTGTCTACTAATGCCCACCATTGATTGCTGGGAGAGATTGTTTTTTTCTGCCACAGGGACAGGTAGTGGATTTCACTTTTTCACCAGTCTTTTATGTTTCTCTTAAGTATTTTTCGTTAGCTCTGCCTTTGATTTATGCTGTGTTGGATTGCTGTGTTCTTGTTTCCACATTCACCTACTAAATAGTTAACCAAGCATTTCCATGCAGGTAATGCAATCACAACTGAAGATTTTAAAGCGCTCCCCCAAGGAGTTACAACTACTTGAGATTCCTGCTCCTGCCTTTGGGGACTTAGACACTTCATGTGGACCTCTGCCTTCCAAGTAATGCAGAGAGATTGACTTTGCCGAATGACTCTTCTCCCCTGTGGACCTCTTGGTTGCCTTTTAGATAGATGTGTGTGCATGAGTTATCATTAAGAATGAAGGGCGTATATGTTGGTCTCCTCCACTGGTTTGCTTAGTCTAACTAGCTACAATGCTGATCATGCCTCGTCATAACCCCTGTGTGCTCTGTATCACCTAGAATACCTTTCAGGAGAAATTACACGAGCAGAATACCGTAGTTGTCAGCATTCCCTGATTTCAGTCCATTCCTAGGCACTGGGTTGCTTTCTAAAACTGGCAAGTGGCATACTACAATCCCCAGATGCCAGTAAGCCCATTCATTTCAGAAGAGCAATTCTAGATGTAGCATTTTAATGAAAAGTAGTTCCAAAGTAATGAACCGAGAGTCCCCAGATTCACTTCTGTCTCTTCCTTGTGTTGCTTCCAGTGGGTGGAGATGCACACAGGGCAGTCGTGAGGTACTGTGTGTTGTTCCTTTGTCACAGTGGAAGCATTTATGAAGCAATATGGAATATTAACATTTTTCTCTCTTTGGAAGATAAATAACATAGTTCTTTGAGGATGGAGATGGATGTGACTTTTTTTAATGAGAATTATTTATTTGTTTATTCATTTATTTTAATTTGACCAGAGAGATCTACACAGAGAGGGAGAGTGAGAAAGCAAGCCACCAGGTCCAGGACTTGAACTATGGTTGGCCATGTGGGAGTCCAGCACCTTAACCACCATGCCACCTCCTGGTTCCTGGATGTGACTTTTAGTTTTTGAAAAATATCTACCTATTTTAATGTAAAAAAAAAAAAAAAAAAAACCTTAATTTTTCCAACAAATTATTTGTATAGCTAGAATGAATATAAACAAGTACACAGCCCTGTGAATCAGACAGTAGCATTAAATAAGAGTTCTGATGTGTATTTTAGTGAAAATGAATATAATAGTTAATCAACTGTCCAAGACTTTCTTAATTTTAAATGTGTATGAATGTATATTCAAGCCATTTTCAGTTTTATCTACCTTAAAAGCAAATGCAACAACAGAAACCATTCTTTTTTTTTTTTTTTTTTTTGAGAGAAGTTTTTGCTATAGGGCACATGCGCTCGCCAGACAGAGAGAGACATAGAGACAGAAAGCGAGAAATCACCCCCCAGGGGGGATGATCACGCCACAATCCCTTCTCCTCCATTCCCCTCTTGGGATCTTGGGCACGCACGCACACGCGCCCGGCATGAGTTCTAAGCCACCGGGTTCGGGATGTGAACTGCAGTCGACTACGTGGGAATCCAGCGACATAGCCATTACGCTAACTGCTGGTTCCCAACAGAAACCATTCTTGAGAGAAGTCATTGATTGAGCATGTGTTATAGAACTAAAATGGCTTATAAATGGCAATAGTTTTTAAGCTTGTAAGTTTGGGGGTGGGGGAGCTGACAGTACTATTTAATAGTTTAGGAATGCAAATATGTTACTTACATATTACAGAATCAAAAAAGTCCTAGAGAGAACTATAGAGGCAATTACCAATAAATATTTTTGTGGCTACTACTACTCATATTAGAAGGACAGATTTATTCTCAGATATCCAGTAGTCAAAGTAAATGAGATTAAATGCTCTGAGCTGAAGACACCGTCAGTAAGTTTATACAGTAGTGTTATGTTATACCACGGGCTTATTTTGGAAAATGAAATGTCCAAACCTCTGTTGGAAGAAATAATTGGAGAGGGGAAGTATCTGGAGTAGCTTTGATTCTCTATAATGTCACTAGAAGTATAAAACTGAACCTCTCTTTTGTAAGTTGATGTAGCAAACAAGTTAGTACAGGCTTTCTCATAGAATATAGTCGATCCCTGGGGAATATGAGAGAAAACATGGCCAGAATCCTTTACAGTGCTGTTACCCACGAGTTACCTATCACATTAGGAGTGGTAGGTAAGTGACAGAGGCTCTACTTATGGAAAAGGCTTTTTTGGTGACTTCTGGGTGAACTTTAAGCAACTCTTGTCAAAGAGATACTGAAAAGAGAAAGTGAATATGAGTCTCAAAGTGTTGCTTTTTTTCTCTCTCTCTCTTTTTTTTAAATAGAATACAGTTTACAGCTGTGAACATTTCCAAGATTTATAGGATCCTTAACTGGTCTTCATGCAGAGCAGCAATATCACATCCAAGCCCTGCTGCTGTTTATATCAGCAGCAATTAAAATTTGATTTACTAATCCCTCATTCCTGCCTCTCCAACTACTCATTTTTCATTTTTGTAGAGCCTTAGGACTGTTACAGCTGAGCATCATGATGTTAACACCTCCTCAGCCATCTGGCGCAGGGGAAGAGGCACCTAAACAGATTCTTCAGAACAAAAGTCGCATTAGAACAGGATTAGAGTAGTATGAGATCTAAGAAACAGGTAAAGAAGGAATGAGAGAGCCTGAATGACAGCAAAGGCGAAAGCCGAATCCAAAGAAGTTTTGAATAGAAGGCCTTCCTTTTGCTGAGGAAAGATCTGCCTTATGCTTTCTAGAAGAAAATCATTCATCGTAGTTGTGCCAGTTAGTAAACTTTTCCTAATTCCAGATAGAACCCTTTAGCTAGAGGAATCCGCTTATTTTATCATCCAATCTTTTCATATTCTTCACACTGACCCTGTGTTTGAAGAGATACTTTGTTCATTCTTCTAGATAAGAGAATGGTGTTCCAGTCACTGCTGGACTGGAACTTTCTACATTTTATTGTAGAAAGTCTTCTGGAGGTTAATGTTGAGAGTATTCAATGAAAAGTAATAGTCCCTTGATTCCTAGTACAGGAATTTTCTGTATTGACTGCTGTGTCAAAGAGCTCTTTAATCAGTGAAATGATTTATAAGGATGACGGTTCCTCTTTGTTCAACAATCTTAACATTCTGAATTTGGTTTAGTGGCTGCTGAAACTTTACTAATATAGAAGCTAAAAGATGATTCCAACTTTTGATGTGTGTATGTATGTGTGTGTTGTGTTTCTTTTCTCTTTTGGTCACTGCGTTTTTCTGTGTTGGGGTGAGGACGGTATGCTATAGACTCAACTGGCTCAGCAGGCTGAAGTGAATGGAGCCAAGCTAACTTTTCTCAGTGCTTCGCAGCAGTTATTAGTTTAAAATCCCAAACAGAGACAAACCCCACAAGGACACTAATGTACTTGATCTTGTTATTGCTTGCCGTTGCTTCACCTGTCCTTCGTATCTTGCTCTCATGCTTCCTAATGCCTGAGCAGACTGCATCGTCAGAGCGCCGAGGAGAGTGGGAAATCCAGCCCAGCCGGCAGACCAATACCTCATACCTGACGTCTCACTTGGCTGCAGACCGCCATGGGGGATCAGTGCAGGTACTTATAGCCTTTATTGCCTTTCCCTGGCCTTCCCATCTTGGCTGGAGGATGTTGCTTGCTTCTGAAATTTGGGTTCCTTTAGAAGGAAAACTCACAGCAAGGATCAGCCGCTGAATACCTATGTTCTGTTTTCAGCTTGGGTGGACTTTGGCAAGGGGCACTTATTGAGATGATTGCTCATTGCTGTCACTGACTAAGAAACGTCTATAACACTTCTGATACTGATTTCTGTTAACCTAGCCCTACAATCTCGATCCACTGATGAAAAATCATAAAAATAATGTCAAGGTAGAAGTTTGTTGATTTCAGGTCTGTAAATTGTAAAGACCTGAAATATGTGAAACAAGTATTTTTTGGTAAAAGACTAGGGGACTGCATGATGCATAGGTCTTTCCAAGATAATGTGTGCCTTAACACGTTGTCAGCAGAGAATGTTGATTGGTATAAGTCAGTGGTTTCTGAGAAAGTACCCAAGAAGTTGAGCTGTTTTCTTTTTTCTCTCTGGAAGAAGGGTAGTCTTGGAAAATGATTCCTCGTTTCATTTAGGTTATGTTGAATATCTTTTGTCTGTTTATGTCTGTTCATCAAGAACATCTTCTATCTTTTGACTTTTCTTGTATATGACTGTTTTAATCTTAGCCTAAGTATTTTTCTCATATCGGTAAGTGACACTACCACATGGGGCATGTAAGAGAACCCCAAGCTACCAAAAGTAAGTTTTTATAAAAGGACAGACAGGGTTAGTCCTGTAGTGCAGTGGTTAAGCACTGTGCTCTGGGAGCCAGGTCCTGCAGGGCTGACCACAGTTCAAATACTGGCCCTGGCAGCTTGAGAAACATATTGGGCATATTTATGTGTGTGCCGCCTCTGACAGGAAGAAGAAGTGGAGAAGGATTGCATATCATGCCCCATTGGAGGGCTCTCTCTCTTTCTCTGGCAAGTGCACACGCACTCCGCCTCCCCCACCCTCCCAAAAAAGGCAAAAGGGAAGACAGGACTTTTGTAGGTAGAAATGTGTCTCGATAGGCTTAATCATCCAGGAAATGCTTTCTAGAAGAATTCATGAAAGGACATTATTCCTAGGCATTTAGGAGACTGTTTTGGCCTTTAAAAACCTCATAGGAACTTCTAGATAAAAAATGGTGGAATGAACAAACAGATCTACATTTATCCACTTTTAAAACAATAAAAGAATGATAAAGGAATTTTCTTCAAGGCACAAATCTATATAATGATGAAAAAAAAAAGAAGGCAAAGGCAATAAAATATTGGAAGCTAGAAAGCAGATGAGAAGTTATTAAACAACCTTAAAAAACTGAATCCTGAGTAGTAGAAGGGAACACAGAGAAGCAGGCCTATTTAGAGTGGAGAATTCCTGACAGGCTTGGAAACTGGTGTTCTATTAGCGGAGGGGGCAGAGGAGCATGTACTACAATAAGAAAGATTGGTTGAAAGTCTGTTTAAGAACCAGAGATGCCTAGATGCGCTCCCCTTCCCAGCAAAGACTACAGATTTATCCTCTGCAGAGGGAGAAATGGAAGGGCTCTGGGCAGGGGATACGAGGTACAGTTGGGGAGTGCACTGTACTGAAAAAAGGGAGATGGCGGTGAAACGTGTGTGCCAGCTGCCGTTTATTATTTCAGAAGGCTGCTAGCTAGATCTGTACCTCCCAGGCAAGAGACTTAAAGAGTATGTTCTGGGGAACCTGACCACCCCCCAAAGAAAACATCTGAGGATACTGACAACAGGATTTTCCCAGTGAAATGGCCCAGCCAGATCATACCACAGTGCAACTCACAGTCGACAGGTGCCAGTTAACTGTGCAGTTGCCCACTTTCAGATATGAGGCATCTTGGAACATTTTTGCACTAACAGAATTACCCGAAGCTGGATGAATCTGAGAGAATAGAGGTTCACTTTGACTCATAGTTATGATAGCTGAAAAATCCCAGAGGTATCACAAAATGGTAGAAGAACTTGTAGCAGAGAGCAGAGCATGATCTGTATCCACATGGCTTTTTTCTGTGCCTCATTTCCTCTTTCTGTACACATCAGAATTCATTCCCAAGGACCCCACTTTAATGACTGTCACACCCAAAGATCCCAACCTTGGACATCTGAAAGAGTCAAGTTTTTTTTTTTTTTTGGAGAGGTTTTTGCTGAATGGCACATGCAGAGAGACAGAGAGACAGAAAGCGAGAAATCCCCGGGGGGGGATGGCCACGCCGCAATCCCTTCTCCATTCTCCTCTCGGGGTCTTGGGCACACACATACACCCGCCTGGCGTGAGTTTAAGCCACTGGATCTGGAACTTGAACCACGGTTGATTACATGGGAGTCCAGCAGCACAGCCATTACCCCAACTGCTGGTCCTTCAAGCTTTCACTTAACAGTGCAACATGTGGATTTGAGGGAGCCATTGAAATTCCAAGACATGAAATCTTGGAGGACAAGCTGTTATCCAAGCCATAACATGAGTAGACAGTCAAGGGTTGTCAGACCCCTGAGGAAAGCTTTTAATAAGAAAGAGAACAAAGAAAAGATCTAACAAAAGGTATTTTTTTAAAAAGAGAACTTTTGGAAAACAAGACAGAAGTGCTCTTAGAAATTGAAAACATTACAAATAAATATTTAAAATTCATTAATTTGGAATATAAAGTTGAAATCTAGAAAGCAGAGCAGAGAGATGAAAAATAGGAAGAGAACACAATGTAAAAATATTTCAGCAAAGCCCAAGAGGCCCAATTCCTAAATAATAGGCATTCTACAGAAAGAACAGAGAAAACAGAGGGGAGGAAATCATTAGCAAAATTATTTCCCAGAACTCAAAGACTTGTTTTCAGATGAGAAGGGCTACCGAGTACTTGGCATGCTGGATTATAGGAACCACACCAGCGTACACCATTGTGGACTCCCAGAACTCTGAGCACAAAGATCAAGCTCTTTCAAGCCCTCAGAAAGAGGAGACAGTCATGTGCAAAGAAAGCATGAGGAGTTGGCGTAGCTTCAAACTTCTAAATAGTAAACTAGAAAAGTTAGAAGACAATGAACAATGCCTTCAAAAGTCTGAGGGAAAACTGCTTCCAACCTAGAATTCTATACTCAGCCAAACTGTCCATCTGGTATGAATATAGAATAAATATGTTTTTAAAAATCTATGCTCTTGGGCTAGCCCCGTGGCCTATTAGTTATGGGAGCCGGATCCCATATGGCACGTGCAGTTCAAATGCCTGCCGCATTGACTTGAAAAATATGCTGGGTGTGTGTGCATGCACACGTGCCCCAGATCACAACGGGGTGGAGAAATAAAGGAGAAGGGAATGTGATGTAGCCACACCCCATTGGGGGGTGCTCTCTCCCTCTTCTTTCTCTCCCTCTGCATCTCTATCTCTGGTGATCATACATACCCTCTGGCAATTAAAACTAAAAATCTGTGCTCTCAAACATTTTGCTTCTCATGCATCCTTTCTTAGAAAGCTACAGAAGAATATGTGTTACCAAAATGAGGGCAGACACCACGGGAGAGGAATGTGTGGAGTCCAGGAAATAAGAGCGTCAGCACAGGGAAGAGGCAAAGGAAATCTTTGGTGGTAATGCAAGGAGGTCCTGGGGCACATCTGAACTCAGTAGAGGAGGGCAGCCTGTGCTGAGCAGGTCCATGTTATATTGTTGTTGGTTGGTTGGTTGGTTTGTTTAATGATATAGTACATTTACAGATGAGAGAGACAGACAGGGAGGGAGGGCGAAGCACCTCAGCAGGGTCTTGTCCTGCTATTGGGTTGTCGGAGAAGTCATGATGTATTTTTACATAGAAAAATATATCACGTATCTTTTCTAACAACCCAGTATCATCCCCATTCTCCAGCCCTCCAGCCGATCAGGATCCTGGGTGCCTGTGCCTAGCGTGTTTTCAGGCTGACCCAGGGATCTGAATCCACAGTCAGCTGTGTGACTCCCAGCCTTGCAGAGCACTTGCATACTGCTGCATCACAGTGGCTAGACCTGATAATGTCCTATTATCTTGAAAGAAGCTATTTAGATAAATGACAGAGAGTTTAGACAGAATTAGTGAATGCAGTTAAGACATAAAAGGCTATATTAAAAAAAAATTTTTTTTTTTGAGTGTGTGTGCTCGCCAGAGAAAGACACAGAAAGAGGGAAAGTGAGAAATCACCCCCCAGTGGGGATGACCACTCTGCAGTCCCTTCTCCTCCATTCTCTTGGGATTTGGGGCACAAATGCCCATGTACCTGGTGTGATTTTGACGCTGCTGGGTCTAGTACTTGAACTGCAGTTGGCCATGTGGAAGTCCAGCACCTTAATCACTACACCACCTGCTGGCCCTATATAAACTTTTTAAAAAGATAATTACTGAACTAGCTCATGGCCTTGTGGTTAAGGCAGCTGGTTTCTCATGTGGCCAACTGTGCAGTTCGAGTCCTATACCTGGCAGCTTGAGAAACACTTCAGACATATTTGTGTGTGCACCCAAAGTCCCAAAAGGAGGGAGAGATGAAAGAAAAGGGACCGCAGTGTGACCATGGTCCACAGGAGGTGCTTTCTAGATTTCTCTCCATCTCTCTCCAACAAGTGCACGTGCCCTTGGGAAGTTTGTTTTGTCTTTGTTTTTATTTTGTTTTGTTTTGTTTTTTTTAAAGAAAGATAATTCTTCCAGGTCAAAATGTAAGCAGGCCTGTCATTTCGGCATCAGGTCAGTGGCTGGATGGCATTCGAAATGGTATTACAGGGCTGCAGGATTCAATAAACTGGGGTTAACGCAAGATGATATAATATATGCAAATGAATATGTGAAAGAAGCCATAAGAAGACTTCCTGAGAAGCTTTATGATGACAGGATGTTTTACATTAAGAGAGCCCTGGCCCTTGACCTTGAGGCAACAGATCTTGCCTAAAGAGCCATGGACAAATACACGGAGGATAATTCCTACCTTGAGCCATATCTGAAAGAGGTTATTAGGGAA